TTGAATTTTTTAAAAAAGAACGAGGAAGAACGAACGAAATAATTAATGTAACTGTATAAGAATATTTACAAGTCGCGTGCTATTTCACACAGCACGAATTTATATTTATTAAAAATATATAGCGTTCGCACACGATATCCATTCCGCAAAGCTCTTAAGAAATTTGCATTGAAAGAAACATTACGCAAATGGAACCGTTGCACGCGTACTTTCAACAATTCCTCTATGCGCTTTAAATATTTACCTTCTCGAGTAAAATTAAACAGCTTCGCGTGCTGAGTATCAAACAGCCGGTGTCTTTTAACCAAAGTCCTTTTTACTTTCGATACACGATATTCCGCCAATTGTTCTACCAATCGTCTTCACGTTTCCATTCCAATTTAATTGGAATCATTAACGACCAACGCGTAAACTCTTCGTCACTGTCGATTCGAATCGAGGTTAATCCCACGTTTCTCCTTCAACTCTTTATAAACACGATTATTGAACACGCCGTGTTTCGCTATCCGCCTACTATCAATTTTCTACGAAATTCTACGATTCTTGGTTTTGGAGCGGCGAGGGATAATACGCGCGAAAAGTTTGGGAAGCGGGGCCACGATAAACTGAAAGGAAGAATCGCAGCTCCCGCCGACGCTCTTGAAAAGCATTAGAGACGTTGGACACCACTCGCGCACGTTTCCTTCAATCGTGCGCCTGCGTTCTGTACATTCTCTCTCGATCTTCTCCGTCTTCCCTTCTCCCGCTTCCTGTGTTATTCTCCACAGGAGATCTGTCGAAAAATGTCCAGATCCGGCTCGATCCTGTTGATCCATAAAGTTCGACGGGCGTCGTTGGAAAGCCCGGAAAGGAACATCGCTGTTAAAACGTCGTTTTTCCCTCTCGCGTTACACGTGTCCTCTTTTTTTCTTTTTCTTTTTTTTTTTTTGGATTCGATTTCCAAGTTTTCTTCTCCCCACGTGATTCCAAACTGCGAGTAAATCTCGTAATATATATTTCCACACGATATTACACGTGATGGTGCACGAAATGAAATCTGTAAAGAATCATTGCTGGAATCGAAATCGTTTTATTTATTACGTCGAATTTTTATCGGAATCGATGAGTGGAACTGCACTTTCGTTGTTGTTCAACCAAGATTTAATAAGAATTTTTCGGATAATGTGTGATTATACGAATAATATCAAAATTGTTGGATGGGTATATATCACGATATTCTTTTTATAGATGAAAAATTTCTTCGAAAGTAAGGAACTTTCACAACTTTCGTTTTAAAAATATGGAAACTAATTAATTAAAAAAAAAAAATAAAAAAGCAGAACAAAAGGTTTTCAGTTTCGCATGTTTAAACATCTTGGCTTTATTATTTACAAGTGATAATACAGAATTTTGTTTACTTAATAAATATAAGAAGAAACTTTCTACATTGCGAATGTTCACGAATTTATAAATTACTTCTGTTTTACATATCCTATATGAAACTCAATCCACAAGCACGAACTCTATGAAGGAACAGATACGTAAGATACATTGATCAATAAATCAATGTACATTGTTCCAATGTGTAGCATCTCGTGAATATACTCACGAAAAAAGATGAGGAAGAAAATTCACACGTTACGGCGGCGAGTCGATCGCATCTATTGTCATCCTCGTGTCGCTTCGCATTAAAGGTCAACGGATAGATATGCAAGATTAATGTTCTTCTTTTTTTCTTCTCTCTCTCTCTTCCTATTTCGTAGTTGTCTTGCTAATGCAACTTTTGTTACGATGTTTTCTTTCGATGGAATCGAAACGATAAAAATATCGTGGAAATCTAAGTGGAGGAAGTTTTAAGTAAGGATCACCAAGTACGTTGTTATCGCTGAGAATATCTGTAAAAATATATATATAAAATATATTTCATTGAAACACTCGATTATTTATCCTCGCGTCGTTTCTTTTCTTTTTTTAACAAATTTCGTTCATCGATATAACCTCACCGAAAGCAGAAGAGGAAGATCGATGCGTATTAAACCAGCAACAGTAAAAAGATGTACTTTCCTTAGTTGAAAGTAAGCCGCTGCGTCTACATTTTCCTGTAATTAGAATCAATAAAGAGATTACAAAGGCTTTGAAAGAGAGTTCGCTTCGTTAAGAGCGAGAAATTTAATTTAAAATAATTGATCGTTCAAGAAGGAACAAAGAGGTGTTATAGGAGGAGACGGCTTAGAGAAAATAATGACAGAAGAGGCAAGTTGCGAGAATATTATCACATTATCTAAAACTTAAAATAATTCATCGATACTCTTTTATTCTTTATTTGTTTCTCGGAGAAATGGAGAGGGGTATAAAGGAGGTAAGGTTTGAAGAATAAAGAAAAAGATTTAGATCGAAACGAAATGATCAACTCTTATCGATCGCTTACCTGTAAATATACGCGTTTCAGAGAAAAGAAAGAGTGAGGTGAGAAAATAAGCTTGCCGACACGATTCGCCTAAACAAATAATCAAGTTATATAGCGATACGTGTGCAAATTTCAGCTTGGTTCAGAGAAAGATCTACCTGATGAGCTGTCATGTGACACACGGTGGTAATCAATACGAGGTTCCACGCGCAATCAGTCACCAGCATTGATTCCCTGATCTTCCCGTAATCCGATAATTTGAACACTTTCAACGAATAAATCCTCGACATCAGGTTGAACGACATAGTCGAGATCCAAAACAACAACTGGATCGCGTACACGGAATTAATTATTTCGGTCGCGTTCGCTAGAGAACAATGAAGCCACCATATGTGTTGTAACGTCGAATGCCTAATTGATCGATGCGCCTCTATTATCTTGTCAGCTGGTAACATCGGGGGAAAAAACGATAAAAATAATTGTTTGAAAATAGGAACACAAAGGTACGATTAAACATTCATTCAAACTCGTTAGCCCGCGTCGCTCATCGCGCGATTAAAATCCTCGATAAAAATTCTACGATTCCGTACTGTCGTCGAGGACGATGATCGAGATTTTTCACGAGATTTATTGCCGTTTTAAACGAAAGATCGGATGAATTTGTAAGAAAGAAATTTCAATAATAACGATCAAACGTAACGAAGAATAAAATAAGAATTTATAGAGTGCCAAAATTCTTTACTGTGCAACACGAAGGAAGAAAAATATATAGATTAAAGAAAACGATCGACTACGCCTCGAATACGATTAAACGATGCATAAAACTGATCGAAAATAAATAAACCCGTGAACCTTAACACTGTGTATCCGTTTAAGAGATAAATGAGAAATAAACCCTCACCCTTAGAGAATTCTATCATGGAGCAGAGATGACGGAATCGTTCCTCGATAAGGAATAAAATACAAACGAATATCAAAATTTGCATATTCATCGAGGCATCCATGATGAAGTACATTATCCCACGAAAAATTGACATTCTCGGCTCGATTCTATAAAAAGGAAATATTAAAAATCTAATAATAATAAATAAAATTTTATTACGTATACATTTAACGTTTCGATAATTGCTTTATAAATGTTTAACGATTTACATTTTGATATACATTTATACAATTTCTCAAGAAATTTTATCGAATTTGAGATAATCCCATTTTATTTCCAATTTTTAAGTGATAAAAATTCGAACATTTACCGTATATGATATGATATAGTATATAACTATCGTGATATTCGTAAAATTCGATATTCGATTCTTTTTTACAAATCTTACCTGTACGTGAAATATCCTACTATCGCCCAATATGAGAAACTGACGAACACTGTGACATAACAAATGATACGCAATTTATTCCCTTTTGAAAAATCACGAAATTTTGTAGCCCGATCAAAATTTCGTAACTGCGATAAAACGGATCGAATCTTCCAATTCCATAAAGTTGTCACCGATGCATCCGTGAACAAACACAAATAAATAAGAAATACTCTTGTTATGACGATAAGCATGCTTTTTAAATCTGAATCTTTGTACGAGAATACATAAACGTACATTACTACGAGACTAACTAAATACAGAGTCATTGAGAAAACGATGAATATTATATCTCGAAGTCTTCTCGCTTTTACATTGTCCTTCGAAGCACATAGAGAGGTACATCCTAATATTAAACCGGCATTAAAAATCGAATTTGTATCTCCAACGAGCACCATTATTTCTACAAACTTCTTCTTCTTTTTTAGATTTTAAAATACTGTGTTATATTTAAATGTACATTTAAAATGTAAATACTTCGATAACGATATAACTGACGAATACTGTATAATTTTTGTTCTTATTCGTGACAAAATATTAATTGTAACATTCTAAATAGTGAAAGCGAAACATGTGTGTCAGACGAGTAATAAATATCGTTTAATACGAAATCTGAAGAAAAATTCTATATCGATTTTGTAATCAATGGATAACGTATTTATAAGCAAAAAATAAATAATGTTTTCATTGACATTAAAAAAAAAGAAGCTTAAATATGTAATGTTTTTACATGAAATCAAGATCTAAATTTGTTTCATAATTCAATAAGAACGAAAAAACCGTACCGTGAGGCAAATATGAGCAAGTTTGAAATGACATGAATTCAAATACAATTTTAAATGACATGTCATTTTTTTTCATAATTATATATATATAATTTTTTCAGATCTATAAATATTTTTGAAATGACAATATTTTAACATTCTTTTCAAATAACATATTATTTATTATAATTTAAATACTCCCCTAACGATTTATCAATTTTATGATTTATTCGAAATATACTATGTTTTACAAGATCCTCGATCTAAAGATATTACATTATAAAACTGAAAATATAATAATTATATTTTTTATATTAAAAATTGAGATCTATTATAATTTTGAAAAAAAAAAAAAATAATGTTCGATTAAAATCCCATATTTTGTCTGTGATTAATTATATCAAAATTAGATAAGATAAATAATGGGTTAAATAATGGAAAAAGAACAGATACTATCTCTAGGATTAAAAAATTAAAAAATTAACATTATCTGTAAAATACTATAAATTAAATACATAAAGCTGGAGTAACAATTAAATACAGTGCCATCTATTGAATCCTTTATCTTATCCTATCTTTAAAGAAATGTCTTTGACATTTAAGAGATAGCGCTGACGGTAAATTCTTATCCTATCTCTATCCTTTTCATATTATCTCTTTTCTACATATGTTTCATTTATAGCATTCTGATGATAGTATTAATTCTGATATTTTTAAACTATTTCTTCTGTTATTCTTCAATTATTTGTTCTCTTTGTCTATCTATGCGTTCATTCTAATTAATCTAACTTCAATATAATTTTATTATCTTTTTTTTATCTGTTCTATTGATTAAAAATTTTAATAGAAACTACGTATTTACATTCTTATATATCGGTTTTCGTGTAGCATTCTCCAAGTGATAAAAGATATTCTGTTCTTCTTGTACATTTTCCTGTCTGTGACTTCGAATACTTCCTTGCACATTCTGTTATGCTAATAATAAGTCGGACCTTTGAGAATCCAAACATGAGATGGCATTGATCTTTGAAATTTTTTTATAGCTGTTTCATTTATTAGCCTAATGTAAGTAAATATTTATTTAAAAATTTATAAAAGAACAAATATCGCAAAAATTGGATAATGTTAATGCTTATTTGAAAATAAAAATACTTATTTGAAAAATAAAAAAAATTTAAATTTGTATGTAAGTATATTAAAACAAAATACTCATAAAAAAAATTATAGAAAAAAAATTTATTGTATATAGAAAAAGATAAAAAAAAAGAAGACAAATAAGATAAAGATATAAAAATATATTTAAAATATAAATGAAAAATATAAGAATGAAATAATATATATAAATTGTATTATGAAATGTAAAGATGTAAAATATATTGTATATAAAGTATAAAATAAATAATATATAAAAATATTTTTTAAATATATATATATATATATATATATATATATATATATGCAACATAGAAG